GATGGGAAAGATTCCAGAGGACGAGAAAAGGGAAAAATATAGTGCCAATCTATAAAAAGAGAAATAAGGACAACCCGGGAATTACAGACAAATCAACTTAACTTCAGTATCCGGAAAGATAATGGAGCAAATAATAAAGCAATCAATTTGCAAACACCTAGAAGATAGTGATAAGTAACAGTCAGCATGGACTTATCAAGAACAAATCATGTCAAAGCAACCAAACAGCATTTTTTTACAGGGTAACAAGCCTTGTGGATAAGGGTGAAGCAGCTGATGTGGTATATCTTGACTTTAGTGAGGCTTTTGATACTGTCTTGCATGACCTTCTCAAACAAACTAAAGAAATACAACCTAGATGCAGCTACAATAAGGAGGGTACATAACTAGTTGGAAAACCATTCCCAGAGAGTCATCATCAGTGGTTCACAGTCAAGCTGGAAGGGCATATCAAGTGGGATCCCACAGGGATCAGTTCTGAGTCTGATTCTATTCAATATAAGAACATAAGAATGGCCATACTGGGTCATACCAAAGGTCCATCTAGCCCAGTATCCTGTCTTCCGATGGTGGCCAATACCAGGTGCCCCAGAGGAAATGAACATAACAAGTAATCATCAAGTGATCCATCCCCGTCACCCATTCCCAGTTTCTGGCAAACAGAGGCTAGGGACACAACCTCTGCCCATCCTGGCTAATAGCCATTGATGGATCTATATTCTGTGAATTTATCTAGTTCTTTTTTTAACCCTGTTATAGTCTTGGCCTTCACAACATCCTCTGGCAAAGAGTTCCACGGGTTGACTACATTGTGTGAAGAATCTTAATCAATGATTTAAATAATGGCATAGAGAGTACATTTATAAAGTTTGTGGACGATGGGGTTGGGAGGGGTTGCAAGTGCTTTGGAGGATAGGATTTTAAGTCAAAATGATCTGGACAAACTGGAGAAAGGTCTGAAGCAAACAGGATGAAATTCAATAAGGACAAATGCAAAGTACTCCACTTAGGAAGGAACAGATACAAAATGGGAAATGACTGCCTAGGAAGGAGTTCTGAAGAAAGGGATTTGGGGGTCATAGTAGATCATAAGCTAAATATGAGTCAACAGTGTAACACAGTTGCAAAAAAAAAGCAAACATCGTTCTGGGATGTATTAACGGGAGTGTTGTAAGCAATACACGAGAAGTAATTCTTCTGCTCAACTGGAGTACTGTGTCCAGTTCTGGGGGCCGCATTTCAGGAAAAATGTGGACAAATTGGAGAAAGTTCACAGTTATTATAGGTCTAGAAAACATGACCTATGAGCGAAGATTGAAAAAATTGGGTTTGTTTAGTTTGGAGAAGAGAAGACTGAGAGGGGACATGCTGACAGTTTTCAAGTACATAAAAGGATGTCACAAGGAGGAGGGAGAAAAATTGTTCTCCTTAACCTCGGAGGATAGGACAAGAAGCAATGGGCTTAAATTGCAGCAAGGGCAGTTTAGGTTGGACATCAGGAAAAACTTCCTAACTGTAAGGGTAGGTAAGCACTGGAATAAATTGCCTAGGGATGTTGTGGAATCTCCATCACTAGAGATTTTTAAGAGCAGGTTAGACACCTGTCAGAGATGGCCCAACCTTTTTGTGGCCAGTTGCACATTCATGTTTTCAGAAGAGTGTGGCGGGCGCCAACAATTTTTCAAGGCTTATTTTGTATTTGTACATTAAATAATACGAAAAACATCATACTTAATATTACATAATATATGAATCCAGACAGAAGCCGCGAGGACAGAGAACACCGGGGCCCGCGGCCCCGGAGTACTCTGTCCCCAGCAGGCGTGGGGCCCCGGCTTTTCTCCCCTGCTGGGCACTAGGCAGGCCCCACGCCTGCCGGGAACAGAAAACACCGCGCCTGCAGCCTGAGTTATCTGTTCCCGTCAGGTGCGGGGCCGCGGCTTCTCTCCCTTGCTGGGCACTAGGCGGGCGCACATAAATACCCCGGCGGGTGCCATGGCGCCCGCGGGCACCACGTTGAGGACCACTGGTCTAGATAATACCTCAGTCCACTGCAATCAAGGCAGGACTGCACTAGATGACCTATTGAGGTCCCTTCCAGTCCTACGATTCTATGGTTCTATGATTCTATAGCACCAGCTTGAAAGTTAATAGTTAAAATGGTACAATCCAATTTCCTTTTAAACTTTTTAACATTCTATTATGGGAGGATGGAACCTTGTCAATATCTCTTAGCAAAACATTAAGAGTTCCAACTTCCTCCAAGCCATAGATCCCTGAATAAAACATCTATTTTAACACTGTTTCCATCTTCCTTCCTGATCTGATAAAGAAGCTACCTCTTCCAAGGGAGCATATGATTTTTTAGAACACCCTTCAGTGAGGGAAGTGATCCTGGTAAGGGAGCTCCAGATTTCTCTCTCTTCTCATTAGGGAGCTCATAACTATTTCTTGAGGATCGCATGCTTCATAGCTTACGTAGGGCAAGCCTACTGCACATATGAAGTGATTCTTACATCCCTCCATTCCTGCCCACAAGCTCGTGTGCCATCCTCCCATCCCCCTTTTTCAGGGACTTCCTGAAACTCCTCCCAATCATCCCTGAAAGGGGTTCTGTGTGCTCCCATTTCTCCCTCCTCCCATACCAGGGTCCCCCATTTCCCTCTCCTCATATCAATAGCCCTCTGTGCACCCCCATTCCCACTTCCGCTAATGTCCCCCTTATTTCCCATAGCAGAAGCTCTGTGTGCCCTCTATCACCCCATATCAGGTACCCCCAACCTCCTGACCTGGGGTTCTGGGCCCCTTTCCATTCCCCTTCCCCCCACACCAACATCCCCAATCTCCTCTAAGCAAAGTTTCAGTGCATCCCCTAATGTCCAAACCCCTCAGCAGGGGTTCTGTGTACCTCCCCCATAGAAGGGTCATACACTCATAGAATCATAGAATATCAGGGTTGGAAGGGACCTCAGGAGGTCATCTAGTCCAACCCCCTGCTCAAAGCAGGACCAATCCCCAGATTTTTGCCCCAGATCCCTAAATGACCCCCTCAAGGATTGAACTCACAACCCTGGGTTTAGGAGGCCAATGCTCAAACCACTGAGCTATCCCTCCCCTCCCCCCCATGGCAGGGACTAAGAAAACCTTCATCACACCCTTCCCCATGCAGGGGGGCTCTGCCTTCCCCCTTCCTCTCCTTCCTCTTTCCCCCATACCAGGACTCCCCAATCTTCCCCTCACCTGCGGTTCTTTGTGCCCCATTCTTCCCTCTCCCCATGCCAGGGGCTGTGTGCATGCTCCCATTCCTTTCTCCCCCATTCTTCCTCCACCCCACTCCTCCAACATTATTCTTTTTTCTGTCTGTGAGGGCAAATTCAGCTCTCAGTTACATTCAGAGTGTCAACATGTAAAACTCTATTGGGAGGATGGGCAGAGATAAGATAGGATCACTGCTATGCTGGAAGGTGCTAATGGGGCCATCAACCAGTTTGATCTAGACAACTGCAGAGGTGCTCGAAGCTGTGGCTTTTGTAAACAGCTGGCAGGGGCTTCCTGTCTCTCCTATTTTCCAATTTTCTCCAAAATCAATAAGGTTCTGGTACTGATGCCTAGAATACTCCCTGATATTTTAGAACAGATTAGTAGAGCCTGGCATGGATACGAAATTTGTATCTGCATCTGATCTGTGATCCGCAAACATGGCCCAGGGATATGAAGTGGATATCCGCAGATTTGCAGAGCTCTATCGATTGGATGCAGTGTTCTAAAGATTTCCCATTACATATGCAATGACAGACAGACACAGAAATGCTGTCAAGTTGAATGTAAGACCTCCATCAGCTCGGCCAATTAATTACCTTTGGGAGGAAATAAAATGAAAAATGACGTATATAGATATTCATGTTATATTTTCTATAAAAGAGTTAGAAAATAAACCCTTTGTTGGAGAAGATTTACAAGTAACTTACTAAACAATGAACTTTTCCTCTGAATAGGGAGCTGTGGAGGTGCCCTTTCTGTGTGGGTTAGGAAAAGTTTTACTGTTTTTTCTGCCATCATCTAAAGAAAAAAAAAGTTCTTCTAAGAAAAGCTCAGGCACCTGCACCTCTCTCAGGTGGAGCGAAAATGGGTGAATCTGCGTGCACCTGCAGCAGTAATCGTCTCTCTCTTGATTTTTCCACTTGCCTGACACACAAGGAAGGAAGGACCCATTACTATGGATTACTAGAGCGCCTGCCTAGGAAAAAGGTCTTTATTGCCATATTTCTGAAAAGATATATCTTTAATCTTTAATGAAAAGGTATTAACAGAGAAGCAAGTTTCTTTTTTCCTGGACAGATGCCAAAGAGCACATAGTCTAACTGTGTAGTATGTTTTCACAAGATTTTCTTAAATTGCTAAGAAACAACAGTGCTGACATTTATAAAAACTAAAGGGTGTCAGACAGAGTTAGATTTTACAACCCTTACTCATACAGATGAGCACTTACTCATATGAGTAACTTCACTCAAGTCAATAGGACTACTCATGTGACTAAGCATACAACTAATCCACACTGCTGCGCTATCTAGGTCATACAAAGTATAAGAATACGACCACGCTGCAGCTGAAAACGTGCCTCCCAGCCTGGGTAGACAGACTCATGCTAATTCAAGCAGAGCTAACAAACGCTGCAGCATCATAGGCAGCAATTTCGTTTAGCTGCCCAAGTCCAAGCCTGCCCAAAGCCCTGGGTTTGAGTTTGGGTGGCTAGCTGAAGTTGCCACGCGTGTAGCAATGCCCACACTGTTATTTTTAGAGAGCTAGCATGAGTCTGTCTATCCAGGCTGGGAAGTTCATTTCTAGCTGCAGTGTAGACATACCCTAACTAGTCTCTCCCCAACACAGACTGACCTGAAGAACAGATTCCCTAATGTGCTTCTGCTAAGAAATGATGTGCATTAATTCTGCTCACTCTGCCTCTTGATGCTCTCTGGATAAAGTGAGTTTTAGATACTTACCTAACCATGTTGCAATGAGAACAGAGTCAATTCCATCTATGGGCTCACAGATTCGAGCCACTACGGGGTGAATCTGTTGTGACAGATAGTACTGAGTATCAACAGTAAGATTTTCTTGTTTTTGCAGCTGTTCTGGAGCATACGCTCTCTGGCTGGCACTCAGATTTGACCCATCCTAAGAAAGGGGACACACACAAAACAAACCAAGAGAAAAAAAGTCAGTCATATGTGGGTTGGAGTTGGGGTTAGACATTTCAGCATTATAAAACTATGTTTTTAAAAAAAGGGTACCATGGATTCCTTCCTTCAGCTATTTTATTACATATCCAATACAAATTCAAGAAATCTGAAGAAACAGGTTACACTTTTGTTGCTGGCATTAGCTAGTAAATTCAAGAACATAAATCCAGCTTGTATTATTACAGCTTGTGTGTGCAAATCAGTAATAGTAGACAGAGTAAACAGTCCCATCTGTCAATTCAGAAATGCACAATGAAAATATACTGTTACCATAAGCCCAGTTAAAAGTATGCAGAGGGCAAACATTTTGGGATCACCTTATATTAAATCAGCATTATCACATTACAGTAATCGTTAGAGCAGCTTCCTAAGCGTTGTGGTGGATTCTCCATCACTGGAAATTTTTTCATCAGATTGGATTTTTTTCTAAAAGATATGTTCATGTTCAAACAGGAAGTAATTCATGATCTGTGTTACACAGGAGGTCAGATTAGATGATCACAATGGTCCCTTCTGACCTTAGAATCAAATAATCTATTGTAACAAGCAGATACCAAAACCACAGCCTTACATTAATGTGCTAAAATAATCAGTGGTGCATCATCAAAGAAAAGACAAAACACTAAGTGGAAGAATGGAAGGAGGAATTAAGAGAGCAAGACTGAATCTATTTTGCTAAGAAGTTTATTGTAGGTTCTACATAGACAGGAATAAAAATGGGTTGATGGAGAAGAAACTGTCAGACACCAATGCATAGATAAATAGCACCACAGAGACAGTGTGATCAACCCAAAAGGGTTGAGTAGCGTAAGAAATTCTTTGCAATCCTTCTTGTCAAGAGCGCCATTCTGGAGTTCCAGAGAGCACAAGGAGCCTTTCTTAAACAGAAAAAAATTGAAAACAGAGGCTGAAACAAGTTGGAATCAGAGGCTAAAATGCAGGTTGAAAATGGGGCTGGTGGGAGGGTAGAGAAAAATCTTGAGTTCCAAGAAAAAACTGGATTCTAACCCCGTAATCCATCAAGGAGCCATGCCCCAAGGCAGACAGCTACTATGTTGGGATGAAGCACACAACTCTCATCCCGTGAAAGGAGATGAGGAATGGTCAGGAACATGAACAGCAGTTGGACACAGAAGTGAAGCAGGTAAGGGTACCAAGCTGGTCTCAGTCAGGTCAACACTATAACGGTAACTCTGACTTTGTTTTGTCTGATCTTGTTCATTACCCTTAGTATCAGTGGCACTGGAGGAAATGCATAGAACAGACTCTTCTTCCAAGATAGAAGAAAGAGTAGTGGCCCAGACCCCTCTTGATCAGAAAACAGGATACTTCCTGTTCCTGGAGATGGCAAAGAGATCACTTCTAGCAGTCCCCATCTTTGGAATATGCTGTGGAGAACGTGGGTGTCTAGCTCCCATTTGTAATCCTGTGAGACGTATCTGCCGCGAACATCAGCTGCAGTGTGCTGAATACCTGGGAGGTAGACTGCTGAAATTTGGATCTGATGAGCCATGCACCAATTCCATAGTTTCATGGCTTCAGCACACAGGAATTATTGATATAGAACAGGCAGGATCCGTTGTCTGCCATGACCCTGATTAATTTGCTCCTGATGAGGAGTAGGAAATGAAAGCAAGTGTTCCTGACAATCCTGAGCTTCAACACATTCATGTGAAGACTGGTTTCTTGAGTTGTCCATCTCTCCTAGTTGTGAAGATATTGAGGTGGGCTCCCCATCCCAACAGCGATGCATCTCTGTTGTTAAAGTCACTGTTGGGGCTGGGCGACAAAAAAGAACGTTTGCACCGACATTGAGTTGACCCTTCCACCAGTCTAAGGAGTTCCTCACTTGTAGAGGAACTGTCACCTTCTATCCAAGGTATCTGACCGGAGATTAGATCTTTCTGAGCCAACTCTGGAAGTGATAGAGACATAACCTTTCATGATTGGTCACAAAACTGCCATGTGTCCTAAGAGCTGAAAACAGTTCCTTATTGTGATTCCTGAGGCATGTTGCACATACGCTAAGAAGAAGGGCTCCCCTGAACTTTCTGTACCAGATCTGATAAGGTTACGAACCTGTCTAAGGGAAGGTACGCTAAAGCTATTAATGAGTCCAAATATGCCCCTATAAATTATATCTCCTCTACAAGAATGTGGACTTTTTAATATTCAGCTGCAGACCTAACTTCTGAAACAGACCAAAGTCTGGGTAGATGACAGCACTACTTTGTAGGAACGGTCCTGGGGTAGCCAGTCGTCGAGGTACAGGAAGACTAGGATCGCTTCTTGTCAGAAGTAAGCAGCCATTACTGCTAGGACTTCTGAGAACACCCTGGGGGCCAAGTAAAGGCCAAACAGAAACACTCAGCATTGGAAACGATCCTGTCGTATAGTGAACAGTAAGTATTTCCTGTGCAATGGATGTATCATGATATGGAAATAGGCATCTTGTAGGTCAAGAGCCGAAAACCAAACCCCTTTCTCCAGTGAAGGAATTATAGCTGCCAGAGTCACCATTCTGAATTTTTGAGACTTTATGAACTTGTTTACAAGTTTTAGAACGAAGTTCGGTCTCTACCCTCCATCCTTCTTTGGCACAGGAAATAATTTGAGTAAAATCCCTTGCCCTTATGAGGAGGAGGAATCAGCTCTATTGCTCCTAATCGAAGGAGAGAGTTCACTTGTCTCAATAAAAGCTTGTGGGAGGGGTCCCTGAAGAAGAATGAGGAAGGGAGGTGGGTGCAAGGGAGGGAGGGAACTATGTAAAATGGATGGTACAGCCCTATGTTGACTCACTTGTCTATAGTGATCTGCCTCCAAGCATACAGGAAACAGGCAAAAGGAGGGGATCAGGGCTAATGCATGCAGATGTAAATCCCAAGGTGTGGAATGGATTGAACCCTCAACCAACCCATCAAAACTGTTGCTTTGAAGATGGCTGGGTGGTCATGGAGAGCAGATGGCAGTCCTTTTTCTTTGAAATCTGTCTCTCTTTCTGGGGGATTCAGTGGATTTATGGAACCAAGAAAACTGAGCAGGAAACAATCTCTGGACGGTCTGTGACCTACTAAACCTTTTTTTGATAAAGTTATTTTGTTGATAAAAGCAAAGTAATGCACATGGGAAAACATAATCCCAACAATACATATAAAATGATGGGGTCTAAATTAGATGTTACCACTCAAGAAAGATCTGGGAGTCATTGTGGATAGTTCTCTAAAAACATCCACTCAATGTGCAGCAGCAGTCAAAAAAGCTAACAGAATGCTGGGATAATTAAGAAAGGGATAGATAATAAGACAGAAAATATATTGCCTCTATATAAATCTATGGTAGGCCCACATCTTGAATACTGTGTGCAGATGTGGTCACCCATCTCAAAAAAGATATATTGGAATTGGAAGGGGTTCAGAAAAGAACAACAAAAATTATTAGGGGTATGGAACGGCTTTCATATGAGGAGAGACTAATAAGACTGGGACTTTTCAGCTTAGAAAAGAGACAACTAAGGGGTGATATGATTGAGGTCTATAAAATCATGACTGGAGTAAAGAAAGTAAATAAGGAAGTGCTATTTACTCCGTCTCATAACACAAGAACTAGGGGTCACCAAATGAAATTAATAGGCAGCAGGTTTAAAACAAACAAAAGGAAGTATTTCTTCACACAACGCACAGTCAACCTGTGGAACTCTTCGCCAGAGGATGTTGTGAAGGCCAACACTATAAAAGGGTTCAAAACAGAACTAGATAAGTTCATGGAGAGTAGGTCCATCAATGGCTATTAGCCAGGATGACCAGGGATAGTGTACCTAGCCTCTGTTTGCCAGAAGCCGGGGAATGAGCGACAGGGAATGGCTCACCTGATGATTACCTGTTCTGTTCATTCCCACTGGGGCACCTGGCATTGGGCACTGTCAGAACACAGGATACTGGGCTAGATGGACCTTTGGTCTGACCCAGTATGGCCATTCTTATGTTCTTATTTGTAGGTGTATGTATGCCCAGGGTTCATAAAGGAGCCCTAGAGTCCTTTAGAGTGTGCAAGGACTCTCATGTGGTTTCTGAGAAGAATTTACAACTATCTAAGGGGAAGTCCTCCACTGTGTTCCGTATGTCTCAAGGAAATCCCGAGATATACAGCCACGATGCCCTGCACATAACCAGTGCCATAGAGATGAACCTGGCAGCAGCGTCATCAGCATCTAAAGGATGCTTGAAGAGCAGTTCTGGCCACCAATTGGCCCTCTGAGATGATGGACTGGAATTGCTCCCCATGCTCTTGTGGCAAATGGTCAATAAAAGCCATGAATCAGTTATAATTTGTAAAGTTATATTTGGCCATAACCACTTGATAATTCACAATCCTAAATTGCTGACCTGCTGGCGAACAGGACCTTTGCCCAAAGAGATCCAGCCTTTTCTGGTTCTTGTCATATGGGGTTGACTTAGAGAAGCACTGCCTACCTGACTCATTTACCGCATCCACCACCAGGGAGCTAGGTGGAGGGTGGGAGAACAAAAAGTCAGAATCCTTAGAGGGAAGAGCAGGGGGCTCCTAGCTGCGAGTCCCTGCCAGGCTGGGAAGGGACAGGACTTGTCCTTTCCTTGCCTGGCAGCTCTCAAGGGGGAGAGGGGAGATCAGGCCCACCTCCGAGAGCCTCCCCCTGCTAAACGAAGCTCCGGTGCTGGCAGCAGCCCCGAAGGTTCCTGCAGCTGGAAGAGGCCTGTGGACATGGGTCCGATCTCCCCCTGCTGCTAGGAGCCCACCAGCTGAAAACATGAAATTGACCATTATAAAATCCTCTGGCCGGGAAACTGATCAAAATGGACTGTGAATTTGGTAGGGCTTTAATAATCATATTTATCCCTTTCTAGATGTAAATGATAGGACTGCCTTTTCTGCATTGACAGAAGCGTACAGTAAATATTCTTGTTCTGTATTTGGGGGAAAAGCCAGATGTATTTATATCATGCGATGATGACACAACACTTTTCATTCCAACAGTAACTCAGGAGGATGTTAAACAGCAGCTACTTTTTAAATCAGCAAGTCTGGATAATTTGCATCCAAGAGTTTTTTTTTTTTTTTTTTTTGAAGAGCTGGTCCAGGAGTTCGCTAGATGGTTAATTTTGATTTTCAGTAAGTCTTGAACACTGGAGAAATTCCAGAGGACTGGAAGAAAGTGAATGTCATGTCAATAGTTAAAAAGGGAAAGCTGGATGACAAAGGTAATTATAGGCCTGTCAGCCTGACTTTGATCCCAGGCAAAACAATGGAAGGGCTGATTTGGGACTCAAATAGAAAATTAAAAAAGGGTAATATAATTAATGTCAATCAACATGGGTTTACAGAAAATATATCCGGTTTAACTTGATATCTTTTTGGATGAGATTACAGTTTTGGTTGATATTGTTAAGGTAACAGTGTTAATGTAATATACTTAGAGTTTGGTAAGGCATTTGGACTTGGTACCATATGACATTTTGATTAAGAAACTAGAATGATACAGAAATCAACAATGGCACACATTAAATAGATAAAAAACTGGCTAATGGATAGGTCTTCAAATGTAATTGTGAACGGGAAACCATCATCACGCAAATACGTTTCTTGTGGGGTCCTGCAGGAATGGTTCTTGACCCTATGCTGTTCAACATTTTTTTTTTTTAAATGACAAAACCATCTCTGCAGATCACACAAAGTCTGCAGATCACACAAAGATTGGGGTAGTAGTAAATAATGAAGAGGACAGCTCACTGATATAGAGTGCTCTGGATCGTTTGGTAAATTGGGAACATGAAAACAATACACATTTCAATATGGCCAACTGTAAAGTCAGATGTAGGAGCCAAGAATGCAGACCATACTCACAGGATGGGGGACTATTCTGGGAAGCAGTGACTCTGAAAAAAGACGTAGAGTCATGGTGGGTACTCACATGACTGTAAACTCCCACTTAAACACGCTAGCCAAAAAGGCTAATGTGATCTTTGGATATATAAACAGTGGAATATCAAGGGTTATTTTAATCTCTGAGTTTGGCACTGTTGCTACCGCTACTGAAAACTATGTCCAGTTTTGGTGTCTACACTTCAAGATATTGAAAGACTGGAGAGGGTTCAGAGGAGAGCCAAAAGAATGATTAAAAGACTGGACAACATGCCTTATAATAACACATTCAAGGAGCTCAATCTATTTAGTTCACTAAAGGGAAGTTATAGCATGACTTGATGACAGTTTTATAAGTACCTACATGGAGAATAGAAATTTCATAATATAGGACTCTTCAGTCTTCAGTAGAAAAATGTATGACAAGATCCAATGGCTGGAAGTTGAAGCTATACAAATTTAGTCTAGAAAGATGGTGTAAATTTTGAACAGCACAGGTAATTAACCATTGGAATAACTCATCTAGGGTTGTGGTGGATTCTCCATCATTGTAAATTTTTAAATCCAGATAGAATGTTTTTCCTAAAAGACTGCTCTGGTTCCAACAGGAATTAATTCAGGGAAGTCTTATAGCCTGTGTTATGCAAGAGGTGAGACTAGATGATCGATGGTCCCTTCTAGACTTCTAGTACATGAAACTATGTCAAATTTAGGGCATACGTTACTTAATAGCGTTCTTTAAAAATACAGAATAATGCCATTCAAGGGTTTGAGGGATTTTTGTTTTGTTTTATTTTCTCCCCAAAACTCCTAAATAGTATCTAGCCGTAACCAAGATTTTTTTTACCTGACAGATCACATATGACACAGTATCTCCTGCTTTCACCTTTCGGCCTCCTTGAGAGTTTATCCACATGGCAACATGCACATGTGGCAAGCTTTTTTTGTCAGGATAATCCTGAGGATCCTTTGTCAATGCCTAAGAGATCAAAGAGGAAAACAGGTACATATCTTTGAGAATAATGCAAATTAAATGCTGGACAAATCACTGCAGTAAAAAAAAAAAAAAAGAGAAGAAGATTATAAATAGCGGTCTTCATCATCCCTCTACTGTTCACCAGAAAACAATTTTGAAATATGACATTAATACAAAGCATAACATTATAATAAATATATCTTTCAGACATTCAGATTTCTGTATCAGTCTTTCATGCTCCCTAATTAACATTATTGGAAGAGCAACCTGGAATTTTATACATTAACTTTCTGAAAAGCTAAACACAATAAGAACCCTGATTGGAACCCTAACAAAAGTTCAAACAAGCACAAAGACAGCCAGAATGGTTAAAAATTAGATTTAATCAAAGTATGAAATATTATACACAGTGCAAGAATGCAGTGAAAGAAGATTTTCAAAACTGAAAAAAAAAATTAATAAGTGTCCGACACATTTATATTTATTTAAAAACTTTGTAACAGAAGTAGTGAAGTAGATCAGGGTTTCAATATTTCTATAGATAAGACTACTAGAATTTTACAATAAATCATTTCCCCTCTCTATTCCATAATTACTTCACATGAAGATAAAGAGTTTGAAAAAAAATAATCCCCTTCTCTACACCTACAACTTCATCAACATAACTTTTAAACTAATATTTAGGTCTAAGTATTTCAAAGGCAAACAAAACACTGGAGTGTGTAGGACTTAAAAAAAATGGTTACCTACTTTTTGGTAACTGTTGTTCTTTGAGATGTGCTGCTTATGCCTATTCCATTCTAGGTGTGCATGCTCCCACATGCGTGGTCGTCGTAAATTTCTGCCTTAGAGGTATCCGTAGGGTTGGCTGTGGCACCCCCTTGAGTGCCATGCTCATGCATCGGTATATCTGGCGCCATCGGCCCTGTGCCCTCTCAGTTCCTTCTTGTGGGCAACTCCGACAGAAGGGTAGGAGGGTGGGTAATGGAATGGACATGAGCAACATATCTGGAAGAACAACATTTACAAAAAGGTAGGTAACCATTTTTTCCTTCTTCGAGTGCTTGCTCATGTCGATTCCATTCTAGGTGACTCACAAGCAGTGTCAATGGAGATGGTCTTGCAGTGTGCAGAACTGCTCTGCCGAAGCCAGCATCATCCCAGGCCTGCTGGGTAAGTGCATAATAGGACACAAACGTGTGAACAGATGACCAGGTAGCAGCTCTACAGATCTCTTGGATTGGCACCGAGCCAGGAAGGCTGCTGCTGACGCTTGCGCTCTAGTGGAGTGTTCCTTGACTGGTGGAGGCATTTTTGCCAGCTCATAGCGGTAGCAGATGCAGGCGATGATTCAAGACCAAATGCTTTGAGCAGACACTAGGTGACCTTACATCCTGTCTGCCACCGCAACAAACAGCTGCGTTGACTTGCAAAACTGCTTTGTTCTGTGGATGTACAAGGCAGCGCCCTCCTGACATCCTGGGTGTTCAACCTCCATTCCTCTTCCAATTTATGAGGCTTCAGGAAGAAGACAGGTAAGTATATGTCCTGGCTGGTATGAAACTTGGGCAGGAACACCGGGTGCGGATGCAGTTGGACCTTATCCTTGTAGAATACCGTATAGGGAAGTTCTGAAGAAGATCTCAGACACACTGCGGGCAGATGTTACTGCAACTAAGAACAAAAACTTCCAGGAGAGAAGAAGAAGAGAGGAGGAAGCCAGAAGATCGAAGGGAGGCCCTATGAGCCTTGACAGCACGAGATTCAAGTCCCAGGGACAGACAGGGTCCCGCATGCGAGGGTAGAGATGCTCCAGACCTTTCAAAAACCAGGTCATCATGTCGTGAGCGAAGGCCAACCTGCCTTAGAATGGAGGGTGGAAATAGTGGCCAGGTGGACCCTGATCGATGGCAGGGACAAGACCTGGAGCTTGAGGTGCAGAAGATAATCCAGAGTCACCTGCAACGAGGCCTGCTCGGCCCAGATACATCGTTCCGAAACCCAGTACATGAACCTTTTCTACTTGGCCAGGTAAATCACTGTGGTGGAGGGCTTTCTCCTACCCAACAAGACCTGTTGAACCTGAGCAAAGCATTCCTGGTCTTCCATGCAGTAACCATGCTGTCAAGTGCAACGCTGCCAGATTTGTGTGCAGAAGACTGCCATAGTTCTGGGACAGCAGGTCCGGCCAAAGAGGTAGCCGCCTTGCTGCGGCTACCAAAAGGTCCAGCAGCGTGCCGAACCCGTGTTGGTGAGGCCACTCGGGGGCTATCAAGATAACCTTCGCCCTGTCCCGTTTGATCTTCATGAGGACTCTGTGGAGCAATGGCACTGGTGGGAAGGCGTACATCGGGGCCCCCAATCACGGGAGCTAGAAAGCGTCTGACAGGGAACCCTTTCCATTCCCCGGAGTGAACAGAACATGTGGCATTTCCTGTTCTGAAAAGTTCACCTGTGGAGTCCCCCACTTTCGGAAGATCATACTGACCGCCTGATGTTGATATGGAGGGCCAAATCGTCTCACAGCCAGTAGCCCTGCATGCTGAGTTCGCCCAGGTGGGCTCCCCAGCCCAGGTCCGACACATCAGAGACCAGGGTCAGCGACGGGGATGGGGCCGCGAAGCAAACTTCCTGTAACACCAACCAGGGATTCATCCACCAATCCAGGGACAATAGGATGCGATCCGGCACCTTGACCACCCGGTCTAGGTCATGCCTGTTGGGGATGTAAACCAACGCCAGCCATGCTTGCAGAGACCAGAGATGGAGCCACGCATGACTGACCACGTATGTACAGAAGGCCATGTGGCCCAATAACCACAAGCAGGTATGAGCCAGGTGGTTCTTCACATGGGAGATCAGGTCCGACATGGCCTGAAAAAACACCTCTGGAAGGAAGGCTCTGGGTCACGTTAAATAGAGAACCGCCCCAACAAACTCTATTTGTTGGGCTGGCTTTAAGGTGGATTTTTTCTCGTTTATCAACAGGCCCAGGTCGCAGCAGGTGGAACGCACCAGATTGAGGCTTCTCTGTACTTGTTCCCGAGATCTGCCCTTGATGAGCTGATTTTCGAGATAAGGGAAGACCTGGACTCCGCGACGTCTCAGGTAAGCAGCCACTGGTGCCATACATTTTGTGAAAACCCTTAGGGCTGATGAGAGGCCAAAGGCGAGTGCCGTGAATTTGAAATGATGTCCGCCCACTATGAAATGGAGGAAACATCTGACACTTCGGAATATGGAAATAAACGTCCTTCAAGTCAAGGGCGGCGTACCAGTCTCCCAGATCCAGGGAGGGGATGATGGAGGCCAGGGAGACCAGGCAAAATTTCAACTTCTTGAGAGACTTATTGAGGCGTCACAGGTCCAGAATAGGTCTGAGGCCCCCTTTTGCTTATGGAATCAGGAAATAACGGGAGTAGAACCCCTTTCCTGTCATGTCCCTAGGGACCTCCTCCACCGCCCCCAGGTTCAGGAGGTTTTCGACTTCTTGAATGAGTTGCTCATGAGAAGAGTCCCTGAAGAGGGACGGGAAAGAGGGGGTGGGTGGGAAGGAGGGGTGGCCGAAAACTGCAGGAAGTAGCCTTGTGCGCTGGCCATTGGCCATGCTGGCAAGGTGGCACCGTCGATGTCAACATGGCTTCAGGTGCCCAATCGCACCGGTGGAGTCTGGGCAAGGGGCTGAACTGCCCTTACATGCTGGAGGAATCCCCTTCCGGTGACCACAGTGGGCCCATCGACGCCTAAGTCTGCCTGCTGACCATCGCCACCAGAGACTAGTGCCTGGAGTGAGAAGATCGGTGCCAGTATCGAGGGGACTGGTGCTGGTGCAGGGGGGGACCAGAGACATGACAAGGAGCGCTCCCACTGGGCAGGCGACTGAGATCTGCACCGTGAGGAAGACTGGTGGGAGGGTGAATGGTGCTGGTAGTACAGAGACCAGCACCTCCCCCTAGGCGATCCATATTGAGACAGCAGGGACCACGATTGCAGTGCCAGTGACCCAGGGTGAGCCCAAGAGGATCTGGACTGCGATTCTGGGGATTTGTGGCATGGAGATGGAAAATGCTGTCTTGGCTCGGGGGATCAGCAGTGCTCCACTGCCCCCTGAGGGGTCTTAACGGCTGGCTTGCCCTCGTGGGGAGCCTTTGGCATGTGCCACGTCGGCAGCACGGGCAGAGGCCTCTGCTCTCTCGGCGCCGGCAGAGCTTGGGAAGGCATCGGTGCCATCAGGGGATTGGGTCCCATACCGCTCCTGGGAGTTAGTGGTGGACCTTTTAAGAGGCTAAGGGCCCTGACCGGGGAGGCATGCACACATGGCTCCAGAGTGGCCGGGCGGCCTGAACTGGGTCCCTTGCCTGATGACCTATGGCCCTTCTTGCCTGGAGCCGGGGAGCTGTGCTTTCTAGTTTTCTTTTTGGGCACCAGCGATGGGGATTGCTGCCAGGCAAAACCCGGTGCCGGGGGTGCACTGCGCATTGAGGCCGAGGTACTAGGCGAGTCTTGGCGGGACGGCTCGGAAGCTGGGCAAAGGACTCCATGAGGAGAGCCCGCAAACGAATATCCCGCTCCTTCTGAGTCCTGGGCTGAAAGCTTTTACAAATATCGCATTCATTCATGTGTGATTCCCCCAAGCACTTGAGGCAGCTGTGCTTACAGGCTTGGCCTGTTTCAGTCCACGCAGGGCTTAAACCCGGGAGACCAGGGCATGCCCCGCCTGGAGCGAAGTCCCTGCTGGGACTCTAACTTCTAACTACACTTAACACTAACTACTATAAACAAACTATTTACAAGGCCCTAAGGCTCAAAGTCAGTAGAAACGAAATCGCTAGCCCTTGCAATGCAAGGAAAGGCACTCTGACTAACCACCACAGGCGATAAGAAGGAACTGAGAGGGCGTAGGGCCAGCGGCACCTGATATACCGACACATGAGAGCGGCATTCAAGGGGGAGCCACTGCCAACCCTACGGATACCGCTAAGGCAAAAATCTCCGACGACCGTGCACGTGGGCATGCACACCTAGAATGGAATTGACATGAGCAAGCACTCGAAGAAGAATGGGAGATATCTCCAATGGCATTCATTTTTAACGGAAAACTGGTTTGAAATGATTGTAGTCATACTGGTCCTCAAGAAAAGATAGATGAGGTAATAAAGGAACAGCTGTCAATGAACCACAAAACAGTTGACTCCACAAGCGCGGACATGAAAGTGTGTGATTTTCATTACTACTTTGTTTATATTTTCTTGAGGACCAGAGAGTTGCCCAACAGAGAAGGGGCACTATTATACTGTGGCAAAGCTGGGAGAGAAGAGTCTTTTCATAAGCCTCCAATGGGAAGAGAGAAGCTTTATTAACAAAGAAAGAAAAAAAGTCCCAGAAGGGGCATCAGAATTAATTTCAGCTCCAGTCCCTGTGCCTTAGAGAGGGAGAACCCAACAATTTGTACTGGACTTCTGGACATACTCTATAGTGAAAATAACTTTTTGATTCTTTTCCATTTATGTTTATGTTCCACGTTTAAAATAATTAAAGTAATGGCCTGGGAGACAATGTTCTCAGCTGTGGCAAAGAAAGTACATTCTATCACACTATTTTTGGAGCATGGCCTCACAGACCAAAAAAACAAAACAAAAACAAATCAGATTTGGGACTCTGAAAAAGTGAGACACACACTAGGATCCTCATTCAGCAAGGTACTTCAGCACATGCCTAACTTTAAACACGAATAGTCCCATTGCCTTTCTTACTTAGATTGTAAACTCTTTGGGGCAGGGACCATCTTTTTGTTGGATGTTTGTACAGCACCTAGCACAGTGGGGTCCTGGTCCATGGCTGAGGCTCCTAGGGAATATCACAATAGAAATTAAACAGGATTATTCATAGGCTTCAAGTCAGGCATATTGCTTAAGTCCCTTGCTGAATTGGGGCCCAAGTGCTAGTGCCAGGGAAAATGAAAGGAACAGAAGTGTAAGAGTGATAAATCTAAAAGAAAGAATCAAGTTAAAAATAGAGGGGGAATAGACATTTTCTCTTCTGACGTAGCCTAATCAGAGAGGTGGACCAGTATCAATATTTCCAGGAACCATTAAACTTTTCCCAGCACTAGTTCTGGATCACTGATCAGAAAGACAAACTAAAAACCCTGGTAATATCATATCAAATGCATGAAGAAATCATTTATGACTGTCCATCCCTTGCCTGAGTTTGGTGAACAGCACATATATACTACAGCATCTTTAAACAGAGAAGTCTTGCAAAAAAGTTTTAGAGGGGAAAAAAGAAACCTGAAAATCTTAGCAGTAGCTGATGAGTGGTACCATTTACCTTGTTGATTTCAAATTGACTTATTGGGACTCTGCCATTTATCACATTTTCTCCAATTTCTATTAGTTGTCTTTGAATGTTTTCCACAATTGTGTCTCGGGACTGGTCAGAAAGAATCTGACCAATTACATAGCTGTAAAGAAGTAGAAGCAAACAAAAAACTTTCTTTAAAATACAGAGGGTATCTTAGTATTTTAAAAACACCACAGTAAATATGTGCATCTCTCTCTTTGTTACCTCTAAAAACTACAAGCAAACTGAGGACAAAGTTTACCTCAAAATTATTAACACTTTTCCCATGATCTCTCACATGCTTTAATTATTTTATTAGGATACTTCAAATTTCAATTATTTAATCTTGAAACTACTTTAAATGATGGACCCAATGCATTTCTAATGTCCCCCTCACCCACTCAAGTGGTGTTTTGACATTTACTAATCCACAACAGGTATCCAAAATGAGAGAAAATTTGAATATGAAATCTGCTCACTAACTTCCTGCCTATTTCTGGAAAAATGTATACAGAGGGTCTGCCAGCTGCAGTACTTAGTCACTGAAGAACACTGACAAACATTTGTATAGCTTTAATTACTAATACATTCCTAACTTGGGGAAATTTGTTTCTATTATGATGCATCTTTTCTTAGAAAACAACAGTTAAGAATAGTAAGCAAGTGTGTAGTGTATATTTACAGATAAAGAGGCATCAATTTCTGGGTACATTTGGAGCCATAATTTATTTAATACTAATATTTTCCAAGAGGCTGTATGCAATACACATTGATTCAGCCATAAGATGACCACCTCTCTGCCCAATCAAAAGTATTCTCTCTTTAGTACTAATTGTATAATCTCTGTAAAAGTTGAGTGCAAGAGAGGCTCCATATAATGCTGCACATAGTAAATGCCAATAAATCAAATAATCATTGATACCACATACCATCTTCTTTTACAAATAAAAGGATCTAAATAAATGACAAAAGGGCTCTTCAGGACAGTGACCACATCTTCCATTTTGAGTGCTTCTGCAAGCTTAACATTTATTAACAACTCTTTAAAGCTGTAATTTGCTAAGGTGTAGTATCAAACTCCCTACCCCTTCAAAATTCTCAACCTAAGAACCCAAATCAATGATAAAACATGTGAGTAGACATACATTTCTCACAATTCCTGAATTCAGGTTTATTGTACTATATATCCAATTGCTTCAGAGGAAATGCAAATTTAAGATTTACAAGAAAGTGAGACCAACAGACAGTAAAAATAGAGCTTTTTAAGTAAACACATATAATCTGTTACTGGCTTAAAATCTTTCAATATTTTGATAGGCTGTTCTGAGTCCTTTTAAAAATTAGTTAAAGCACTTTCTGTACTTAATACAGGAGTTAGAGTCAGAGTTTAAAGACCTGAATGGGCCACCAGATGATCTAGTCTGACCTCCTATATACCACAGGCCACCAACACTGCCCAGCGCCTGCACACCAAACCCAACAACTGAAATTAGGTGACGGCCTTCAGAAGAGAATAGCATTATGGGTCACAAGAGGAGAATAGAAGGGACCAAAGTGCACCAATGCCCAAGGCCACTGCAATGGCAGGGAACTGATTGAGATATACCCAGGTAACCCCAGCAAGTGACCTGCACCCCATGCTGCAGAAGAAGATAAAAAAAACCCAAGGTCACTGGCACTGCCAATCTGACTTAAGGAAAAATTCCTTCCTCACCTCACATATGGCAATCACTTAGAACCTGAACACTTGGCTATAAACAGTAGCAACATTTTTCCTGTGAGAGAGGCATTAGCAACATCTAGCAGCTCACACGTTAATGAAGATTGTGTATTTTTCAAGAGTCGTACAGCATAAGATGAAAATAGTCAATATTAAAAGCAAAACTCACTTTCCAGTTTCTTTTGCAAGGTCACACCAGTCTCTTCGGACTATGTCCAATCCTTTCAATTCCTGTTTGGTAACATATTTCCCATCTCCTGTTGGCTCCACTGTCAGAGCAGCATATTTCTTTTTCTTTAACAGTAGCAGGGACTTGAAGACCCCATCAATATCAATCTCCAACAATTTGTACAGCTTGTTCACTTCACTTTTAATCTGTGATACATTATCATTAAACCAAATGCAACATCTCAGTAATTATGAACACACATTACTTTTAACAATATATGCATCAGGCTGAAGTTGCATAGCAGTCATACTCTATGTTGTGTGCTTATATAGACATAATTTTATAGATTGGACAGATGTCTTCAGTATAGTAGTACTTATTAACTACCATTACAGTTAAGGTTATGACATTATTTCCAGCATGGAGCATGTTTTTCAGGGGTTTACAATTCGGTGTGATGAGCAGTACAGACCTTTCAGGATTCTAAAAAGGGTCCTCTCATAGTTATGGTTCCACCTCAGCCCAGTTTCTAACTCAAAAACAGGCAATGTCTGCCTGAGCAGAGAGAACTTTGAACCCAGAGGAGCAGAGCTTAGAGGAAGCCTGGGGACGGAAACAGGAGCAGATGAACCTAATGACTAGAAGCAGATATAAAAAGTCCAATTCCAGGTAGATGGTGGCTACTGTGCTATAGCTGCATTCCTGGACAAGCAGGATGGTGTCAAAATAAATATTGTTTGTGAATATTGGGGAGGAACTGAGTGAGCAGCCCATGCTTGGTTGTTTTTGTGTATGTTGCTTTTCTAAATAAATAATAAATAAAATATACTGGGTGCTGGCTTTCACAGAATAACCTGAACTCTTCTGGGAAAAGATGAAATACTCCCCTTTTTCCTATCTCCCACCCTCCCCCTTTGTGCGTAGTTTCTAGAACTGGCACCCATCTCACTTGACTACAGAAGTGTGAGGTAAGGCTTGGGTTGCTATCTTTCTGTTGGGCAAAAGATGAAATTTCCCTCTTTTCTCTCATCGCCCCTTCAAAGGAAAAAAATAAAATCTAGGAACACACAAATGTGTTTAGCTTAGAAAACAAGCTTGGGTCCTGGTTCCCATGCTGGCTGGTCAGGAGCTTCCCTTCTTTCCTCACATCATTTCTCTTTTCACTTCTTTCACAATGCATCTTTGCATCATTCACTCCCCCAAAACCTGTTCTGACTGCTTCCCATACCCCCTTAATTTTCATTTACTGATGTCTTGATTCTTCCCCCTTCTCCCACTGAGTGGAAACTCCTCTCTCCTTGTTCAGTCTCACAGAAGTTAGATATGGACAGGAGCTATTTGGTCACCTCAGCCACACCCATGCCAAGGTAGGATTATTCCTAGAATTTCTTTCATAGTTTTCCAGTCTAGTTTTAAATATCTTGAGATTGGACTTTAACTAACAATTTCCATTGGACTTCAAAAAACTTGATAACCGACATGACGAAGAATTAAACAGCGTGTAAGTAGTAACAGAATGAAATTAAGAAAGGAAAAGTGTATGCTGAAAAGCAAGGAAATTTTCCCGATAATGAGCTCTATTAACCAGTGTAATCTCTTCTGGGAAGTGGCTGAAGCTAGGCACACTTAGAACGAGACTAGTAAATATACGATGCTACATTGGATGAGAGATGGACTAGATAACCTTACACTGATTGTAGGTATTTGTATGGCATGTTGGCTTATATTAAGGCACAGAAAATTGTGGTTGATAATTTTCTTTCTGCTATCAGCATTTCCCACCATTCTGGATATCCACGCTGCTCTCTTCTCTCTGAGGCTCACAGAGGTAGATCAGAATTTTGATGCTGCACAGTCTCCCATGCCCCTTCTGGTTCCACCTGCTGCCAGATGAATTATTCCTAAACTGTAAAACTTGCACATCATTGACACATATTCCAGAGATGATAAAGTATCTGTGGACATCAGACCAAGGAAGACAGTCATATGGCAACGACTTCACTTAATAGCTGAGCCTTGACTCATAAGCCATCCAAGGTGGATAGAATTGTGAGAGACAGTGCTGCAGAAAGGAAATCATTGCTAAGAAATTTTCCATTCTGCAGCCCAGCATGTCCCACAACTCTTGACATCTGGAAAGTAATGAACAGTGAACATATATAGAGAGGATTATGAAGGTCCCATTTCGGGAAGAGTGGCCTGCCCACCAATCTGGCTAACCAGAATGCTTGTAGGAATCTGTCTACCTGTGGATTGTCTGCCCAGGAGGATCCTGCAAATAGCACCGTACTAAAGACAGAAACCTGAAACATAATGATACCGGGCTGAAGGCCTGTCTAGGACTTCTTGAAGGATGTACAGAATGGCTGTTTTCTGGGATTTGCATTGTGCTCTTGGCACCAGATGTTGAATCCGGATCAGATACAGGAGTACGCTTTTAGTATCTATCCTCTCCTAGATGAAAGCAATATCTTACTGACTATGGAGGACAGACTGAGCTTTCTAGTGTTTCCCTCTCAATAGCTAGGCTTTTAGTTGAAGCCACTTCAGTCAGGATGAAGAAGAGAACCTTCAAAAGGATGTTCACAGAAGCAGGAATGGGTGCTCCAGTTTCAGCTTTATCAGGTTTGAGAACACAGGTCTCCTTGGCCAACAATGAGTTATCAGAATTACCATTGCCTGTTCTCATTTTATTTTCTGGACTGCCTTTCCCAATACTGGAAATGGTAGATACACAAGTAGGTCCTGAGGCCAACTATGCTATAAGGCCTGGTCTACACTGGGGGCATGTGGGGGGGGGGGGGGGAAATCGATCTAAGATACGCAACTTCAGCTACGAGAAGAGCGTAGCTGAAGTCAACGCATCTTCGATCGACTTAGAATCACTTACTTCGCGTCCTCGCGGCACGGGATCGACGGCCGCCGCTCCCCCGTCGACTTTGCTTCCGCCTCTTGCCGAGCTGGAGTTCAGCAGTCGACAGGAGAGCGATCGGGGATCGATTTATCGCGTCTACACTTTCTATCTTTCTATCCGTGGGTTCTTTTGGGTAGAACTCCCCTTCTGAGGGAATAACCATATCCCTGGCAAGGAACGCTACAGTGGCGTCAACCTTCAGTATCTCAACAATAGAGCCCTTTGATTCTTGAATGTTATAGAGCCTGAGGCCACTCTTGTTAATATGCTGCCCTGATCAGTCTTGTTCCATTTATCCTTAATCACTTCCTTGAAGGAGAAGTGAAGCGGTATTGCAGCCTCAAGGGAGGATATTGAAGGGAGCAATCTGCTCTGAGGCTTACTGACAGGAGCCTGTCAGGTTTCAGAGCCAGATAACTCACCTTTCTACTGGAGGAGTAGAAGCTCTGCTGCAGCTTTGGGGAGGCCTTTTGCCACTTGCCTTAGGACCAGGGGCCCTCTCAAGAGGTCTGTCTCAGAATCCTCCCCACTGGGTCCCAGTCCCCAAGATGGGAGGGGAAATTTGTTGTTGGAACTCTCCTGGTCAGCTTTGGGAGGTGGAGCGGATTAGAAGCCCTGCTTCTTTTCTCCTTGGGAACCATTTTAAGATTGGCGGGGGCGGGGAGGAGGAAGAGAATTTGTGACCACCTCAAGCCTCCCCAATTTGTTCTGCAGACGCCTCCTGGGACTTACACCCCCTCACTTTTGGAGGCTCTCTCTGCTCTGCACTGGGGTTCCTGCTCCATTCCCGCCCCCCCATCAGAGTCACGGCTGCCTCAGTAGTACGGTGACCCCACCTGCCTGTCCAACTCTCAGCCCTGGGACCTAACGAAGTCAGGGACAGAAGGCTGAGTCCAGGCTGGGCACAACTCACCATCTATCAAGCCTAGGAAAGCTGCCTCACATAGAGAACAATGCTTGGATTTGACCCGGCAGAGGAGCCGACAGGGACATGCTGCCGTGGAAGCTCAGGGAAGTTTAATCCCCAAAGGGGTAACCAACCCAGGGAGGAGGAGGAATGCCGAGGAGGGAGAATACTGCTCCCCACTGCCCAAAAAAACTGGCAGAAAAGTTAAAATAGGAGGAGGAAGGGCAGGAGCAAAAGAAATCACCTCCGTCTGCTGCTGTGGAGGCAAAGAATCTGGCAGCAAGTAGGAGCAGTGGTAATATAGCCAGACTGTGTGGTGCCAAAATGCTGATCCACCTCCGTGAGTTATAGAAAGAGAAGAGCAGCCCACACGTCCAGAACAGTGGGAGATGCTGGGTTGCAGAAAAATAATTACCACATATTCAGAACAAACAATGCTTAATTTTAACAGTGTTCTTATGTCCCATTGATATCAATAGATCATAAGTACTTTCCTAAATCAGGATTGCTCTATTGAACTGAGGTAATATCCGCTGCCATATAATGACACAACTAGACCATATGCAGCACAGAGCTTCAATCCTAACTTTAAATTTCCAAACAGTCTTAAGAGAGTAGTATATTTTCTTTCATCCCATGTAACACAGCAACCAAGAATATATAGAAAATTAATTTCTAAAAAACATTTAAGTGTGTTCAAAATGCCATGCCAAGCCAAAGAATGTGCCACAACTTCGCTTCATACTGTTAACTTTCTGCCCTGCATCAGCTCCTCATAAAATTCAAGATTCTCACCCTCAACTGCAAAGCTCTATATTATCCTGCCTCCTCCTACAGTTCTTCTCTCAACTTTCTTTGTATCCTTTTCCACTTCCTACACAGATGCCAGTCCTTTCACCTTATTTCTTCCTTTGCTCCCTTTCTATCATGGCTCCTTCTGCACCAGTCTCCTCATTCTCACCTCCTTAGAATCCCCCTCCCCTCTTTCTTCAAATCACCTCTTGAAAATGTGTGTGTTTAGGAAACCCATCTACCCTTTCTTTCATCATTAGCAATGCACAAACCCTTCGTATTCTGAAACTGGTCTCCTATATTTTTGTCTTGCATTTGTATACATTCCAACCGATGACACATTTAGGACACCCAAACCTTTTTTCACTAAATTTGTGTGTGGTGTCTCTCTCTCACACATATTCTTGTAACACCCATGTATGAAGTCTATGAGAAATATTTTTTTCCTTCAAAATTCCCTTACCTTGTTCCCCAGCTTGAAAACCTCCTCCAGGTTTGTGCTATTTGTATTTATCATAATGGAATCTGTATCTCCATAAATCACTTCAAGGTTCATCTAAATAAAACAAGCAGCTTTAAACAAAAGAATTACAAAACAACCTCTCTCTTACCGTACCTTATCTAGTCTCTGGGTAAGGATACAAGGGATTAAAAAAAACAAGGATAGTGGTAGGGATCTACTACAGACCATCTAACCAGGAAAAAAGAGGTGGATGAGTCTTTTTATAAACAACTAACAAAATCATCCAAAGCACAGGACTTGGTGGTGATGGGGGACTTCAACTACCCAGATATCTGTTGGGAAAATAACACAGCAGGGCGCAGACTATCCAACAAGTTCTTGGAATGTATTGGAGACAATTTTTATTTCAGAAGTTGGAGAAAGCTACTAAGGGAGAGGCTGTTCTAGATTTGATTTTGACAAATAGGAAGGAACTGATTCAGAATTTGAAAGTGGAAGGCAGCTTAGTGATCATGAAATGGCAGAGTTCATGATTCTTAGAGATGGTAGGAGGGAAAACAGCACAATAAAGATAACGGATTTCAGGAAGGAAGACTTTCACAAACTCAGGGGTTTAGTAGATAAGATCCCATGGGAAGCAAGTCAAAGGGAAAAAACAGTTCAAGAGAGTTTGCAGTTTTTCAAAGAGACATTATTAAAGGCACAAGAGCAAACTATCCCACTGCATAGGAAATATAGGAAGTAAGACAAAAGACCATGCTGGCTTATCCAGGACACCGTCAGTGATCTGAAACTCAAAAAAGGGCTACAAAAAGTGGAAACTAGGTCAAATTACAAAGGATGAATATAAACAAATACAAGCATGTAGGGACAAAATTAGAAAGGCCAAGGCACAAAACGAGATTAAACTAGCTAGAGACAAAGAGCAAAAAGAAAACATTCTACAAATATATTAGAAGCAAGAGGAAGACCAAGGACAGAGTAGGCCCATTACTCATGTCTTCAAGTCACCAGGGTCTGATGAAATCCATCCTAGAATACTAGTTGACTGAAGACATATCTGAGCCATTAGCAATTATCTTCAAAAAGTCAGAAGATGGGAGAGATTCTAGAGAACTGGAAAAGGGCAAATATAGTCCCAACCTAGTAAAAGGGAAATAAAGACAACCCAGGGAATTACAGACCAATAACTTCAGTACTTTAGTAACTAACAGTCAGCATAGATAGTCAAGAACAAATCATGTCAAACCAACCTAATAGCTTTCTTTGACAGGGTAACAAGCCTTGTGGATGGGGGGAAGCATTAGATCTGGTCTATCTTGACTTTAGTAAGGCTTTTGATACTGTCTCACATAATCTTCTCATAAACAAACTAGGTAAATACAATCTAGATGGTGCTACTATAAGGTGGGTGCATAACTGTTTGGAAAACCGTTCCCAGAGAGTAGTTATCAGTGGTTCACAGTCAAGCTGCAAGGGCATATCAAATGGGGTCCTGTAGGGATCAGTTCTCAGTCTGGTTCTGTTCAGTATCTTCATCAATGATTTAGATAATGGCAGAGAGTAGACTTATAAAGTTTGCGGACGATACCAAGCTGGGAGGGGTTCCAAGTGCTTTCGAGGATAGGATTAAAATTCAAAATGATCTGGAGAAATGGTCTCAAGTAAATAGGATGAAATTCAATAAGAAGAAATGCAAAGTCCCTTAGGAAGGAACAAGCAGTTGCACACATACAAAATGGGAAATGACTGCCTAGGAAAGAGTACAGAGGAAAGGGATCTGGGGGTCATGGTGGATCACAAGCTAAATATGAGCCAACAGTGTAATACTGTTGCTAAAAAAGCAAACATCATTCTGGAATGTATTAGCATGAGTGTTGTAAGCAAGACACGAGAAGTAATTCTCCACTCTACACTGTGCTGATAAGGCCTCAATTGGGTATTGTGTCTAGTTCTGGGCGCCACGTTTTAAGAAAGATGTGAACAAATTGGAGAAAGTCCAGAGAAGAGCAACAAAAATGATTAAAGGTCTAGAAAACATGACCTATGGGGGAAGAGTGAAAAAAAAATGGGGTTGTTTAGTCTGGAGATGAGAAGACTAAGAGGGGAAGTGACAATAGTTTTCAAGTACATAAAAAGTGGTTACAAGGAGGAGAAAGAAAAATTGTTCTCGTTAACCTCTGAGGATAGGACAAGAAGCAATGGGCTTAAATTGCAGCAAGGGAGGGTTAGGTTGAACATTAGGAAAAACTTCCTGTCAGGGCTGTTAAGCACTGGAATAAATTGCCCAGGGAGGTTGTGGATGCTACATCATTGGAGATTTTTAAGAGCAGGTTAGACAAACACCTGCCAGGGATGGTCTAGATAATACTAGTCCTGCCATGAGTGCGGGAGGAATGGACTAGATGACCTCTTAAGATCCCCAACAGTCTACAATTCTATGATTCTATATTGCATTCTGTCGCATTTTCAAAATTTGAGCAAAATGTTTACACGACTCATTATTAGTTTAACAGTAAACTATACAAATAATGCAAAGCAGGATTTTATTTAAAAGTTTAGGTTTCATTAAAATGTATATATGTAAATATACGTGTATACGTGTGCGTATTCAAGGGGGGGGGAATCAAGCATGAGACAACTAAGTAAACGCTAAAAGAAGAAAAATCAGGCAGACTTTTCAGTTGTACGTTTTGCCAGTTAGTATATTTTTCAACACCATATGCGGTATAGAATATTGTAAATAAGAAGTGGAAGAAAATAAATGAACAATTCTGGTCTTAAGAGTTCCACCCCTATTGTTATCATCTGTCATTTTGGCTGGCTGAGAGGGAAGAGAGAAAAGACCATCAGACTGACAGACACATTCAGACTATTCAAGACAAGGTATGTTTGCTTATAGCCAACATCTTTGAAGAGTAACATGATAGCCTGAAGATCCATTTGCGACCATCACAACACTACTGCAAAGTACCCACATCATATAAAAGAAACATCACTTGTCTGACAAATTTCAAGGGAACCCATCACAGTCATATTTGACTGATAGATACAGTAATTAAGAGCACTACAAAGTTATCCACAGTGGACTCTGCTCTTCCTTCACCTCTTCCAGATTCAGCATTTGGCTTACAAGTCTTCTCTCTCCGCCACTTCAATATTTTTTTAAGAAGGCTTTTGCCAAAAAACAACTCTTTCAATGTGCTCTGAAAAGAGTTAGGCTTTGACTCAGTCTTCCTCTTTTGTTTAGTCCTTACATTGGCCAGAAGCCTTGAAAGAGAATGTATTTTTCCTTTTGGATAAAGAAATAACCACAGTGTTCCATGTGTTTTCCATCTCCAGACTGAACTACTGTATCTGGAGATGAACACAGAAACTCCTTCTTGTGCAGAGCACTTTAGTCTGCCTTCTTAGCAGAAAAAGCTATCATAACACCACATTGAATTATATCCAGGTCAAAACTCACAAGAACAGAAGACAGGCATAATTTCCTAGCAAGGTAGAGGTGAAAGAAGGCAACTGTCACCATTATTGCTACCCAGATATTCAGGATTAGCAATAAATCCAGTGGGATCCTATCACCTTGACAAACGAAGACCAGATGTCTTTAATGGTGGGAGAGGTCAGTGCAGTTAAACAAATCTATATTAAACTCCAAATAGTATATAATCACCATATAATAGAATAAAAAGGGAGCCAAAAAAAATTCCTAGTAAAACACTAGAACACAGAGCGTAATAGGCCTCTGAGTAAACTCTAATTAGCACTGTTGCTAATTTGCTTGAAACACTCTCACACAAGCTTCAAGCAGGGGCTAGATCACATCGGTGTTAAGAGAAGGAAAAAAGCTATAATCCATTAGGAAGGATTACATTTGTAAACTAGGCATCCCAAGAAGTGATTTCAAGTTTGTTTGGGTTACAATTTTCTTAGAATAAAACATTTCACTGGGTGTGCTATTTAAGGGTTGTTGTATAATGAAAATGTTCAGCATTACCTTCTGCACCATCTCCTTAGTGTGCATCAAAATCTGAAATGAAAAAAAATATTATCAAAGATTAATGTATGATATAATTACAAGTTAACATATGAGAATATCCATCACATAGTTAATTCCAAATGTTTGTGGCTTTCAAAACATGAATAAAAGAACGGCCCTACTAGGTCAGACCAAAGGTCCATCTAGCCCAGTATCCTGTTTTCTGACAGTGGCCAGTGCCAGGTGCCCCAGAGGGAATGAACAGAACAGGTAATCATCAAGTGATCCATCCCCTGTCGCTCATTCCCAGCTTCTGGAAAACAGAGGCTAGGGACACCATTCCTGCCCATCCTGACTAATAGCCATTGATGGACCTATCCTCCATGAATTGATCTAGTTCTTTTTTGAACCCTGTTATGGTCTTGGCCTTCACAGCATCCTCTGGCAAGGAGTTCCACAGGTTGACTGTGCATCGTGTGAAGAAATACTTCCTTTTATTTGTTTTAAACCTGCTGCCTATTAATTTCATTTGGTGACCCCTAGTTCTTGTGTTATGAGAATAGTAAACAACACTTCCTTATCTACTTTCTCTACACCGGTCATGATTTTATAGACCTCAATTATATCTCCCCTTAGCCGTCTCTTTTCCAAGGTGAAAAGTCCCAGTCTTATTAATCTATCCTCAGACAGAAGCCGTTCCATACCCATAATCATTTTTGTTGCCCTTTTCTGAACCTTTTCCAATTCCAATATATCTTTTTTGAGATGGGACGATTACATCTGCACACAGTATTCAAGATGTGGGCATACCATGGATTTATAGAGAGGCAACATGATATTTTCTGTCTTATTATAGATCCCTTTCTTAATTATTCCCAGCATTCTGTTCGCTTTTTTGACTGCCGCTGCACATTGAGTGAATGTTTTCAGAGAACTATCCACAATGACTCCAAGATCTTTTTCTTGAATGGTTACAGCTAATTTAGACCCCATCATTTTATATTTATAGTTGGGATTATGCTTTCCAATGTGCATTACTTTGCATTTATCAACATTCAATTTCATCTGCCATTTTGTTGCCCAGTCACCCAGTTTTGAGAGATCCTTTTGTAGCTCTTTGCAGTCTGCCTGGCTCTTAACTATCTTTAGTAATTTTGTATCATCTGTAAATTTTGCCACCTCACTGTTTACCCCTTTTTCCAGATCATTTACGAATATGTTGAATAGGACTGGTCCCAGAACAGACCCCTGGGGGACATCACTATTTACCCCTCTCCATTCTGAAAACTGACCATTTATTCCTACCCTTTGTTTCCTATCTTTTAACCGGTTACCAATCCATGAGAGCACCTTTCCTCTGATCCCATGGCAGCTTACTTTGCGTAAGAGCCTTTGGTGAGGAACCTTGTCAAAAGCTTTCTGAAAATCTAAGTACACTATATCCACTGGAACCCCTTAGTCCACATGCTTGTTGACCCCGTCTCACAATTCTAGTCGATTGGGAAGGCATGATTTTCCTTTACTAAAACCATGTTGACTCTTCCTCAACAAATCATGTTTGTCTATATGTCTGACAATATTGTTCATTATTATAGTTTCAACCAGTTTGCCCAGTACTGAAGTCAGGCCTGTAATTGCCGGAATCACTCCTTGAGCCTCTTTTAAAAATTGGCGTCACATTAGCTATCCTACAGTCATTTGGTACAAAAGTTAATTTAAATGATAGGTTACAGACTACAGTTAGTAGTTCTGTAATTTCACATTTGAGTTCCTTCAGAACTCTTGGGTGAATACCATCTGGTCCTGGTGACTTATTGATGTTTAATTTATCAATTTGTTCCAAAACCTCCCCTAATGATAACACAATGTGGGACAGTTCCTCAGATCTGTCACCTAAAAAGAATGGCTCAATTTTGGGAATCTCCCTCACATCCTCAGCTATGAAGACCGATGCAAAGAATTCATTTAGTTTCTCCACAATGGCCTTATCGTCCTTGAGTGCTCCTTTAGCACCTGAAGCAAACTATTTGTCTCTTCTGGTAATAAATATAGCCACCCTAATACTCATAGTAAGAACACAAATCCTTGGCTCACCTAGCATTAAATGGCGCTTACTTGCATGTAACTGGAGGTTCTTCAAGATGCGTGGTCCCTATATGTATTTCATACATGGGTGCCCATGTGTGCCACACATCTGAGTCCGGAGATTTGTAGCAAACAGTGTCTGTTGGTCCTTACCTGCACAGTTGCTCCCCTAATGCTCTGAACTGAGGGCATCGGCCAATGCTTCTCAAGTTCCTCCTGTTCCCACAAATCAGACAAGATCTAAAGCAGAGGGGAAGGACGGTGGGTAGTGGAATACAGATAGGGACCACACATCTCAAAGAACCTCCAATTACAGGTAAGTAATCTGCCTTTCTTCTTTGAGTTCTGATCACTATGTGGATTCCACATGTGGGTGACTGGTAAGAAGTATTTGAACAGGAGGATGAGTGCAAGGATGCAGTTGGTATGAATGTCTGTAATACTGCTGTCCCCACAGCTGCAACTGCAGAAGAGGCCTGGAGTAAGGTATAATGCTTCTTAAAGGCAAGGATAGAGCTCGAGGTAGTTGCCTCACAAATGTCCAGTATAACTACTTCAGCAAGTTAGTTGTTGTCACGTGAATAAAGACAGAGTCGCCTTCTGTGAGAGGATGGAAGGCATTGATTGCTGACAAGTGGATCCACAGCAAGCAAAAAGTCCTGACGTCTTGTGGAACAGGAGAAAGCCTAAAACAACAGGAATGCCTGCTGACTCTGGAGATAACTGTTCCTGCTGACAGTTCCAGGCAGAGAAACTCCTCCAATGAGCTAGAAAGGATTTTCTTGTGGAAAAAAAACTTTCCTGCTGCCACTTAGGACAGCCTCTGAGCATGCAATTTCTATGTCTGACACCCATCCAAATACCAGGCTGTGAGGTGAAGAAGGTAGGGTTGGTATGTCTGATTCCGGCATTCTCAAGAGTTAAATACAGAAAGGGTTGGATACAGATGGGAGGACGGGTTGACATTTGTAGAAGGTCAGGAAAACAAAACTGTCTGGGCCAATTGGGTGAGATATGGAACTCCCAGTTGGAGCCAGTGGTGCCAATCTTCCAGTCTCTGAGATGGAATCAGAGCTGGTACAGTCAGATCCTTCTTCCTTCGTGCCTTCCCTTCTTGGTTGGAAGATTTATGTAGAACTAATTCTTTAGGACTCACGAATGAGGACTCACCCAACTTGGACCAAGATGGGGAGGGATCCTTTTCCTTGGACGCAGACCTAGATGAGAATCTGTCCTTATGCTTATGACCATGTCCCCTACTCTTTGGCTTAACGTTTTTGATCTCTGTTCCGAAGCTCATGCTCAGAGAGGTGCTGCTCAGTCTGAAGTCCTTGTACTGGTGGTTCTCCCTGGCCTGGATCCAATTGGGGTCTCGTGGCATTCTCCAGGAGATGTTTCTGCAGATGGGGCTCTCTTCTCTAGTGGGCTCAGAGAGAAAAGGAGGAACAAATGCTGCAGTGATGTGAGCCTCTCAGAGGCAGTAAAGGCAGCACTTGTGTTTATTGCTGGTGGAGAAGAAACGTGGGCAGGAGATACAGTCCTTAAACCCCAGGAATCTGGGCATACCTTCTCCATGGGAAGAGGCTCCCCAAAACAGGGAGAAGCGAGAGACACTATACAAATACTAAAAAAAAGCTAAGACTCAGGTTATTAAAAATATTGACAATATATATTTACAGATTTTGAAAGTATAGGAAGATCATTTCAGACACAGAAGATTTCAACTCAGGCCATGCGGCAGAAAGAAGGAACTAGAGAAGCGCTGGCCCATGCCACCCTTCATGACCTCGGTTTAGAGCACAAAGAGAGCAATTGCACAGGCACAAGTCAAACCAATGGACACTATTTGCTACATATTTCCAACTTAGGCACATGGAGCAACATGCATACCCGTGTGTGGAATATCAGCACTGGCAGCAGAATCTCTCTATTAGCCCACCTAAATAATAATAATATATTCTTAAAAATAATAACTGGAGCTAAAGATATTCTCATTTCTAAATAATGCTTACAGAATGGTACAAGTCAGAAGGAATCTATAGTAGCTCATTCTAGTCCATTAATAGTGCTTCAAGCTAGGAACTATTTTGTTACACACCTCTACCTCGATATAACATTGTCCTTGGGAGCCAAAAAATCTTACCGCGTTATATCGAACTTGCTTTGATTCATCGGAGTGCGCAGCCCCGCCCCCCCGGAGCCCTGCTTTACCGCGTTATATCCGAATTCGTGTTATATCGGGTCGCGTTATATCGGAGTAGAGGTGTACCTTAGCCATTGGTAAGATTGTTTAGTCTAGCTATGAATATGGTCAAAGATGGTCCCTTAACTGGACTGTTCTGATGTATAACTTCAAAAATAGTTTTCTAATGTTTAACATATGTTTTCCTTGCAGCGACTAAAGACCATTACTACCTTTGTCCCCATTGGCTAGTGATAACTAATCTCTCTGTATAAATATACCAACATCATTATTATAAAGGTTTTGCAGCAGAGACTTGAAATTTGGTAGGGTGGTGGCCTTTTTTTTTTTTTTTTTG